CTGTATTACCCAAAGCAATCTACAGATTCAATGCAATCCCTATCAAACTAGCAATGGCATTCTTCACTGAATTAGAATTAAAAAAATTTACAATTTGTATGGAAATACAAAAGATCCCAAATAGCCAAAGCGATCTTGAGAAAGAAAAACGGAGCAGGAGGAATCAGGCTCCCTGACTTCGGACTATACTACAGAGCTACAGTAATCAAGACAGTATGGTACTGGCACAAAAACAGAAAGATAGATCAATGGAACAGGATAGAAAGCCCAGAGATAAACCCACACATATATGGTCACCTAATTTACAACATAGGATGTAAGAACATACAATGGAGAAAAGACAGCCTCTTCAATAAGTGCTGCTGCAAAAACTGGACAGCTACATGTAAAAGAATGAAATTAAAACCCTACCTAACACCATACATAAAATTAAACTCCAAATGGATTAAAGACTTAAATGTAAGACCAGACACTATAAAACTCTTAGAGGAAAACATAGGCAGAACACTCTATGACATAAATAACAGCAAGATTCTTTTTGACCCACCTCCTAGATCAATGGAAATAAAAACAAAAATAAACAAATGGGACCTAATGAAATTGAAAGCTTCTGCGCAGCAAAGGAAACCATAAGCAAGACAAAAAAACAACCCTCAGGACGGGAGAAAATATATGCAAATGAAAAAATGGACAAGGATTAATCTCCAAAATATACAAACAGCCCAATTAAACAACCCAATTAAAAACAACCCAATTAAAAAATAAGCAGAAGACCTAAATAGACATTTCACCAAAGAAGACATACAGATGGCCAAGAGACACATGAAAAGATAACATCACTAATTATTAGAGAAATGCAAATCAAAACTACAATGAGGTATCACCTCATACCAGTCAGAATGGCTATCATCAAAATATCTAGAAACAGTAAATGCTGGAGAGGGTGTGCTGAAAAGAGAACCCTCCTGCACTGCTGGTGGAATGTAAATTGATACAACCACTACGGAGAACAGTATGGAAGTTCCTTAAAAAACTAAAAATAGAACTGCCATATGACCCAGCAATCCCAATACTGGGCATACACCCTGAGAAAACCATAATTCAAAAATAGTCATGTACCACAATGTTCACTGCAGCTCTATTTACAATAGCCAGGACATGGAAGCAACCTAAATGTCCATTGATAGATGAATGGATAAAGAAGATGTGGCACATATATACAATGGAATATTACACAGCCATAAAAAGAAACTGGGTTGTTTGTAGTGAGGTTGATGGACCTACAGTCTGTCATACAGAGTGAAGTAAGTCAGAAAGAAAAAAATGAACACTGTATGCTAGCGCATATATATGGAGTCTAGAAAAAAATGGTACTGGTGAACCTAGTAGCAGGGCAGGAATAAAGACGCAGACATAGAGAATGGACTTGAGGATATGGGGCAGGGGGAAAGGGAAGCTAGGACGAAGTGAGAGTAGTATTTACATATATACACTACCAAATGTAAAATAGACAGCTAGTGGGAAGCAGCAGCATAGCACATGGAGATCAGCTCGATGGTTTGTGATGACTTAGAGGGGTGGGATAGGGAGGGTGGGAGAGAGGCTCAAGAGGGAGGAGATATGGGGATATATGTATATGTATAGCTGATTCACTTTGTTATAAAGCAGAAACTAACACACCATTGTAAAGCAATTATACTCAAATAAAGATGTTAAAAAACATACACACACACAAAAAGTTTCACAAAATATAAAAGTATTTGGTATAAGTGCATGATATTATTATCATTATACTTTCAATTTTCCAAGGCAATCTGTAATTGTCATAAGTTATCAAGCCATCGAGGAAATAATATAAGAGCAAAAGAAAAAAATTGATTTCTGTAAGAAACTAACTGGGAAACAGAAAATAGACTGAAAACAATTATTTTAACACACAGTATATTTAATAAATGGGAAAAAAAGAGTCATCAGCAAAAACTCAAAATTAAAAGATAGATGAATAAATATGATCTCCAAGATTTAAACAAGATTTGGAGGAAGGACAATGTGTACAGCAAAATGTAGATGAAAGGGTATATGTGTCCCCTTCCAAGACATAGATTTGTGAGGAGGGACATGGAGAACAGCTTTGTAGAAATTGTGCCCTTGAAGTAGAATCACACTGCAGAGCAAGTGGCAACAGGAGGATTTGTTATCAGAGCACACCATGGAGTGTTTGGCCAGAGAGCCAATATTAGCAGCCTCCTCCAGATTGGATCCCTCATGTGGCTTGGCCTCAGGTACAGCAGAGATGGAGCGTTTCATCCCTTCCCTGCCACCATGATTCCCTCAACCGCTGGATCTCTCAGTGTTGATGTCTAGGTGTTCAGGAAGTAGACGCCTTTTCATCTCAGCTATTTTTCACTGAAACCTGAAGAAATGCCTATTCTTTTTTTTTTTTTTTAACATCTTTATTGGAGTATAATTGCTTTACAATGGTGTGTTATTTTCTGCTTTATAACAAAGTGAATCAGTTATACATATACATATGTTCCCATATCTCTTCCCTCTTGTGTCTCCCTCCCTCCCACCCTCCCTATCCCACCCCTCTAGGTGGTCACAAAGCACCGAGCTGATCTCCCTGTGCTATGTGGCTGCTTCCCACTAGCTATCTACCTTATGTTTGGTAGTGTATATATGTCCATGCCACTATCTCACTTTGTCACAGCTTACCCTTCCCCCTCCCCATATCCTCAAGTCCATTCTCTACTAGGTCTGTGTCTTTATTCCCATCTTGCCCCTAGGTTCTTCATGACCCTTTTTTTTTCCTTTCTTAGATTCCACATATATGTGTTAGCATACAGTATTTGTTTTTCTCTTTCTGACTTACTTCACTCTGTATGACAGACTCTAGGTCCATCCACCTCACTATAAGTAACTCAATTTCGTTTCTTTTTATGGTTGAGTAACATTCCATTGTATATATGTGCCACATCTTCTTTATCCATTCATCTGTCGATGGACACTTAGGTTGCTTCCATGTCCTGGCTATTGTAAATAGAGCTGCAATGAATATTTTGGTACATGTCTTATTTTGAATTATGGTTTTCTCAGGGTATATGTCCAGTAGTGGGACTGCTGGGTCGTATGGTAGTTCTATTTGTAGTTTTTTAAGGAACCTCCATACTGTTCTCCATAGTGGCTGTATCAATTTACATTCCCACCAACAGTGCAAGAGTGTTCCCTTTTCTCCGCACCCTCTCCAGCATTTATTGTTTGTAGATTTTTGATGATGGCCATTCTGACCAGTGTGAGATGATATCTCATTGTAGTTTTGATTTGCAAGAAATGCCTATTCTAATTTAGATGAGATGGACCCATGCTCATGCTGGAGAGAAGAGTAGAGCAAGGGAGAGGGAAAATGAGAAACGACTTAGTCTTATGGTCAAGAGGACAAGCTTTGTGATCTGGAACAAGTTCATTTTTCTGTACTAGAATTTCCATCTTGTTAAAGAGGGAGTAATACCTACCTTGTGGGCTTCCCATGAGAATTAAATACAGTATGTGTGAAATACTTAGCATAACGTCTGACACACAGTAAATGCTCAATCATTGGCAGTATGCTTCTTAGACCTCAGGAAGGAGATTTCTTCAAACAAGAATACATTCTGCTTTCTCAAAATTTGGCAGCAAAGTCCACTTACTACAGCTGGTAAAAAAAACTGGAGAAGACACCCATTATCACCTAACTTTGTTTTCTTAAGCCTCATGAAAAGTCCACACAGGGATACTGACATCGCTTTTCTGTTACACATCAAAAAAAATCTATGAATGTAAAACACCCAGGCCAGTCAATGGTGTCTATTTTATCTCCTGCAGCTCTGGACTCAAAGGTCATTCATATGGATCAGGCCTTTCCGCAGAGGAAGACAAATTTAGGTGAAAAACATTGGCTTCTATTTTCTGATATCTCTATAATAAACTCATATCAAAGGTGCAATAAAAAGTTGATTTAGAAGCAATATAAGAAAAGAAATAAAACTGGCTTCAAATAAAAAAGTATTTATTTCTTTTTCAATCCATGTTCTCCTGGAAAAAGAGTTGAATGAACTTTAAAAAATCATTATGAGGTATGTCTGGTAAGATTTTTGTACTTATTTGCAAGGTTGCAGGAGACAAAAATGAAACCATATAACAAGGTGGATGTAATTATATGTTCAAATCAATATCTACTCTCTACGGCAAGTTCTGCTCAGTCTTTTCCCCTTGGTGCCTCATGTTGGTCTGGTTTTATCAGTGTTTATAAAAATTTATCTGAATAAATTAAAAGAACCAGGCAGCCTTTCATTAGAGTATAATAATACACAGGTCATCCACCAAATGCAATGTTCCTTCCTTTTTCAAGACCCTGGAAACATTTTCACCATTTGACATGCAAGAATCTTTAACAATCAGTGCAGAGAGAAGATATCGTAATCAAGGAAAATGCGTACCAAATTGACTCCCTTTCGAAAAGCTATCTGTGTATAATGACTCCCCATAACAACTGTAAAGTCATAAGCAACCGGGAGGGTTGCTCAAGCTAAGAAAAAACGCAAAGTACAGAATTGAGAATTATAGGACAATAAAGTCAGCCTGGCCACAGAAGATCTAAAAGTTATAAAATGTGCAATGATAAATTCTGTGTTACTTCATGCTTATGAAAGCTATCATATTTACCAGCTTATGCCAGCTCCCCACTCCTTTTCCTTTGTTTCGATTTAAATATTAAGCAATACAAACATTTTCTGTTCCCTGAGCTTAATTGGTAACTAAAAGCTAGATTGGTTAGATGCCTGGACAACAGGAGAAAGAGGGAGATATTTAGAGAATCCCTCCACAGCTCTCAAATTGCTCTGTCTCTGGCCACACGATGACAAACAAGATATCACAGAATTTTATTGTTGGGAGTCTAACCTTCTCATTTTACAACTGCGAAAGCGACCTTCTCATCTCCACCTCCTCCTTCCAACTCCAACCGACTCGTCTAGCCATGTCCCCTAGTTCAGGGAAGAGCATTGCTGACACCAGAGATCTGAGCATCATGCCTGCTGAGTTCATCTCTAAATAGCTCTCACTGATATCCACTTCCATCCAGCCCCGGGCCACGCCTTCACTATCTCTCCCCCGCATGACTGGTTGCAACCGAGCTCTTGCTCTGCCTCCACACTTTCCCTCCTGCTCTAACCTGCGCTCCCTCCTCAGTTGAGAGGCCAGAGCAATGTTTCTAAAGACCTAAATACACCACTCCTGTGTTACATTCTGCAGTAATTTCTCATCACACTCTAAATAACGCCCAAGGCTCATAACAGACTCACAAGACCCCGATAACCTCTCCAACCACATCTCTGCCATGCCTGCCACTATTTTTGCACCCACCACATCAAATTTCATTCAGTTTCACAAAGACAACACACTCTCTCTCACCTTCCCACACTGTGCTCCTTCTGCCCAAAATACCCTTCTCTCTCCTCAACTTGCTAACGCCTACGCATCATGAGGTTATAGCTGAACTGTCATATTTTGAAGGAAATCTTCTCGACCACTCCTTCAGATGCAGCTCAGCACTCCCATAATGTGCTCTCAAAACTCTCTACATCTGTAACAAAGCATGTGGCCTCCTTTATTGTTACTGCTTGTTAGGTGTTTGTCTTCTGAGCCAGATCACAAGCATTATGACGTCAGGGACAAAGTCAGTCACGTCAATTCTTATATCCTTAGATCTTAGGATAGTTTCTGGAACACAAAAGGTGTATAAATTGTATTTCTTGAATGAGTGAATGAATAAAGTAAAGTAGTTGCTCAAATTCGTAGTGAACTGCCAGTATCTTTAGGACTAGACACCAGGCTAGTGTTTTTGGCTCTACTAAATTTGGGGGATATTTTATTATTCATTTCAGTCTATATATTCATTCAATGAAGACTATATTAGGTTTTAGGGTACAAATAACCACTGAATATTAGTTTACAGTAAAAGTATAAAGCTCTTCATTGCTAATCCTAAAACCTATTCTGAAAATAGGTAATTTTTATAATTTCATTTTAAAAGGTGAAGTCACTTCCTTCCTTCTTTCCTTTTTTCCTTCCTTCTAATTCAGTCAAAAAACACCATTCCCAGAGGGCACTGGGAAGGTAATCCAGCAGAGCTGGGATTGTACACGGAGGGATTCCAGATGAGAGAGCAGACCATGGGGTTAAGGAATTAGCCTACAATTTCAGGGGATTAAACAAATAACCAAATATACTAAGGATAATGGAAGCCAAATTTCTCACTGTTGAAGAAAGAAAGTACAAATATGGAAAAACGGGAAGGGATTCAAATGAAACCTGTAATGTGAGTTGGAATTACAGATATCAGAGTAACCTCATGGTTTTCAGTAAAAGACCTTGAGACAGAAACTACTTTGATGACTGAGGAATAACAGGAGTGTCTTTGTAGTAAGAAGATAATGAGCAAGGGAGAAAATTCGAAAAAAGTCAAGCCTGGGACTTACCAGGACCTATGAAATGAGAATCTCAAAAAATAAGACCCAAGAATCTATTTCACAACTTATTTTTAAGTATTCAAAAATTTAAACTTCCCTACATTAAAGAAAGGACTTTAAGCTACTGACACAATCACTCTTACAAGTTTTAATGACATCAGAAATATATCCAAATAAGAAACTAGCAAACCAGGGGACAAAATTGAATCCAGTCAGCAGTGAATAAAATGACCCACACTAATGATTCTAACCCACTGGGGTCTTCAGTTCTAGACCCATTATCTAAGACTTGAATCCCAGCATAAAAGAAATTACATGTTTACCGTTTTTCTAACAAGAATATTAACATGATTTTAGGTAATCTGCTCTTGGGGTTGCCATTTATATTAAGTTGTTCGAAAGTTTACATCATTAATTTGAGTGGTAAATACGACTGTCGTAACTATCCAACTACACAAATATTCTTCCTTTAGTAGTTAAAAACTGTACTAATATTTTGATAATAAATGTTCCTGCTAAAGTCATGTAAAACACAAAAATACTAAACTAAAATTTACATTTTTATTATTTGTAGTTAAATGAGTCAAGAGAAATCTTGTCCAATTTGCAAATGCTCATGACAACTAAAAGGAGGCACCTCCTTAACAACCGTTATAAAAACTCTATGCCATTCTGGCCAATGCTTTTGTCCTCAGGTTGCAAATCCTTTAATTTTGTGACTGAATCACAAATGATCAAAATTGACTAGGGAAGCTTGCTTTCTTCCAATTAAGGAAAATTTACCTTTGACTGAGAGCATGATCATTCTATTTTAGAAAATTGTTACTGGCAGTAATTGAAAATATGCTAGAAGGGAGATGATTACCCACTGTATCAGTAAGGGTCTTGGCAGAAAACAGATGGCATACTCCAACTAGGTAATTTGAGACAAGTTTCATAAAAACAATCTTTACAAAGGTGTAGGCAGAGTTTAGAGAAATCAACAACGCAGAACCCCAGGAACAGCAACAGCATGAAGACCGAGAAAGGTAAAGAATGGTTTAGAATCCTGAGAAAGCAGGGATGCAGAGAGGGCTGCTTGGCATGATCGGTGACACAGCCAACCCACAGCCCAGCAGGCAGGGAGCCAAAGGAATAAATACCCCAACCGCACCCTCCTCCTGCTTTCTGGTCTCCCCGTTGGCCAAACCCATCCCGAACCTGGAGATCTCACTGATGCAAACCATGCAGGTCAGCATTCCTTGGCAGAGAGCAGACAATATCCAGCACATATCCCTTTCCAAGTATCAGATAATGTAGGAAAGTGATACAGTGTGGTGTGCCTTCCTCCTCCACAGAAACAGGACCAAGCTGTGAGTCTTTTGTGGAAAGCAGGGCAATCACCTTCAGATCACATGTTTCCCCTGTCTTTCTGATCCACTATCATCATGGTCACTTGGAGGGCATTTTACTGGTTTGGACTGTCCAGCATCTATTTGCCCTCCACTTGGTATCAGCACTCAGGCTTTTGTTAAAGTGTCCACCCTTTCCTACTGCAGCCCATTTGCTTGAGAAAAGCTGATGCCACTCCAGACTTAAGGATGGGGTATGTCAGAGAACTATCTGATCTGTGTAATCACATCCCTCGAGTACAGTTGACTATTAGAGATAAGTGTGACCTAATTGATCCAAACAGACTGAATCCTACTGACTACTGGGGCAAGAGACACATGAGACACATTCCCCTCCCCTAGTATGAATGAGCAAGCATGTAGCCTTAGGGCCACAAAAGGAGAAGTTTGCTGAAAACAGAAGCAACAGAGAAAAGAAACTCCATGTTATTCTCACCAGATCAAGTCTCACCCTGCCACTATTATTTTCCATAACACAAGGCAACAAATGCCCTTTATTGTTTGAGTCAGGTTTTCTGTGGCTTACAATTGAGAGGTATCTCATCATATGGTTGAGTGTATCATACGGTTCGTTGACTGTATTAAGGACGCTGGGTGCTTCAAGCAGAAGTAACTACTTCCTAGGTAAGTCTCAATTAATGTTCTTGAAAATGCCTGCTTACAGCACATCATGAATAAACGCTGAGCTGCTACTGAGAAGCCTTCATATTTATATGTTAATACCTAAAACTGTTTTAATTAGGAGAAATGTTTAGATGATCCAATAACAATTTAATGGATTCTGAAAATACTCCTCCCTCTACATTCTGAAGATATCTCCTGAGGGTTTACTATGTACTAGACTTTGGGGACTAAAAATTACTAAGACATAACATCACCAAAGGGTTCACTCAAATTTAGCAGAGACATACCAAGAAGCTCATCTTGATATATCAAAGTGATATTATATTATAATTGAAGAATACACAAGATACTGGGGAAGCTCAAAAGTAGGAGTTGTTAATTCTACTACGATGCAAGAAGTCTGATAAGCTTCAAAGCCTTTTAAGCAAGGCCTTGAAGTACATCCAGGGACCTTGAACAAGGAAGTTGAACAATGCAGGCTGAGGAGACAGCATGAACAAAGGCATTTTTGCATGTTAAGGTTCAAAGCAGCTTCAGGAAAGACAGAGTAGCAGCGTGATTATAAGGAGAATTTGGTTCTATCCTGGTTCCCCATCCTTTGCTAGTTATGTGATCTTGGGCAATTTCCTTAACTTTTCTTAGTATCACTTTCCTAATATGTAAAACAAGACTAATAATGGTACTTTGGTCATATTTGTTGTTAGTATTAAAAGTCCCATTACATGTAAAACATCTATTACTCAAAAGTATGTTCTTATTAGGAGAAAGATAATTGATTAGGCAGACCGGTATCAGGTTGTGAAAATACTTAGGAGCTCTGCTAGATATTTGGATTTTACAGAGTGTGGCTAATATACCCCAAACATCAAAGGTTTTAAGTAGACATGACAAGATTTGTATTTTAGGAGAATAATGTGACTCTTGAACTGGAGTGAGAAGAGACTGAAGTTAAAGTGAGATGTTACAATCTTTCTTACAACAAATGATAAGGGCATGAGGGCCTGAACCAGGACAGTAGCTGGAGGGATGGAGAAAAAGTGACAGAAATGCACAAATAAGGTATCAAGGAAGATTACAAAGTTTCTGGTGGATGCTGGTACATTTAATAAATAAAGAAAAGAAAAGGAGTAATGCATTTGGCAGAGAATACAATAAGCTCAAATTTGGGACATGCTAAGTGTGAGCTATCTATATGCTGCACAAATGGAAAATCCCAGAAGCTATTGGAAATATGAGTTCAAATCACTTATATGGGGAATCTTTAAAAAAAAAAGTGATACAAGTGAACTTATTTACAAAACAGAAACAGACTCACAGAGTTAGAGAATGAACTTATGGTTACCGAGGGGGGGGAGGGTTGGGGAGTGGGATAGACTTGGAGTTTGGGATTGATGTATTTACATTGCTACATTTAAAATAGATAAACTTTGGTAGTGTATATATGTCCATGCCACTCTCTCACTTTGTCACAGCTTACCCTTCCCCCTCCCCGGGTCCTAAGTCCATTCTCTACATCTGCATCTTTATTCCTGTCCTGCCCCTAGGTTCTTCAGAACCATTTTTTTTTTTAGATTCCATATATATGTGTTAGCATATGGTATTTGTTTTTCTCTTTCTGACTTACTTCACTCTG